ATCATCGGCTGATGGTACTTACTTTCGAGTATGTGCCCCCTCCTGATGATACTCTTGGTTCTGGTAGCTCTGGTGGTTTGGCCCCTAGACGGCAATGGAAGCTCTCGAAATTGAGGAAAAAGCGGCCTTTGGGCTTGCTTCGTGAATCCTTTCGATCTTCTGTTGCTCCTTTGGTTGGTTCTCTCTCTGGTTTGGTGTCTGCTCCTCCTGGTGTTTGTCCAGATATTGATGCACTCAACGATTCTTTGAATCAATGTTTGTATGAATCTCTGGATAGCTCAATTGGTGTGAAATCTGGTCGTCCTGGCCACTGGAAAAAGTACTGGACACAGGAAATTGAGGATGCTGCTCGTGAAAGAGATACTATGTATAGTAGATGGAGGTGGGCAAGTCGTTTTGCCAAAGTCGAAACATGGAATCTCTATCAAGCTGCTCACAGGCGTTTTCGTTCTCTTGTACAAGCTGCTAAGCGTCGATCGTGGAATCAGTTTTGCTCTGATTTAGAAAAGGACTTTTCGAAAGCCACTGCTGCAATCAAGCGCATTAAAAGAAACAAGGAATGCTCTGCAACGTACAGTCATCCAGACGGTCCAACTGCCTCTGTCAACACAATGGCGTCCCATCTTGCCTCAGTCTATGATGGCTCTTTGTTGAATAATGCGTCTCGCCCTACTGCTCCCCAAGTGAACAACTCTGATTTGCCTTACGCTGTGCCTACTGATCTGTCTCTGTTTGATGCTGATATACTTGTCGCTCTCATTAAGCGTTTGCCAAATGGGAAAGCTCCTGGTCCTGATCATTTGAAAGCTGAAATGCTGAAGGCTCTAGCATCTGACATTGCACCCGTATTGTCTCTGCTCTTTACACTCTGCTCTCAGTGGTCGTATACACCAGCTCTATGGCGACATGCTCAAGTCTTTCCCATTTACAAGAAAGGTGATGTATCTGATCCTGCAAACTTTCGTCCAATTTCGCTTACTTCGGTGATGCGTAAATTGTTCGAATTCTCTCTGATGCCTGCTCTTGATGAACATTCGCCTGCACTTGATGTTGCTCAAGGTGGTTTTCGCCCACAGCGTAGTCCTCTGGATCAAGCCCTCTGTTTACATGACTTGATGCACGACTACTTCCTCACCCACCATCACTATCCTGTGGTGGCTTTCCTGGACATCAAGTCAGCGTATGATACCGTGGATCGTCGAGTGATTTGGGATGCTCTCTCTCGTTCTTCTCTGCCTCGTTCAGTTCTCAGTTTGCTCATCCACATGTTCGATGATGTACTCGTGTCTGTGTTGATTGCAAATCACACCTCTGTTCCCTTTTCGCCTGCTACTGGCGTATTGCAGGGTTCAGTGCTCAGCCCTCACTTGTACTCTTTGTACATCAACTCTCTGCCTGCTCTTCTTCGTTCTGCTGTCAGTCGCGGTACTATGGTATCACCACCTGGGATGCCTAGTGTTTGCGTGAATAGCCTGCTCTTTGCTGATGATGTAGCCATATTTGGCTCTCGTACTGATGTGCAAACCATGTTGGATGTCGCTTCAGATCACTCGTTCTCTCTTGGCTACAGATGGAAACCATCAAAATGTGCTGTACTTTGTGCTCCCACTGCCTCTACTCGTCATCCATTGTCCCTATACGGTGAACCTCTTCCTGTGGTAGAGGAATTCACGTATCTTGGTATGCCGTTTAGATATAAAGGTCTGTATGCCCCTGGGATTCTCAATCTGCGTGCTTCTGGTGCTATCAAGACAATGGCATTGTTGAATTCGGTTGGTGTCAATCGAAATGGTTTTTCTCTGTTGCTTTGTGCTCGTTTGTATAAAAGCTTTATTCGACCCAAGCTGGAATACGGCTTAGCAATATCGCATCTCTCTTTCCGTGACTTCAAGGCTCTTGATGCTCTGCAAAATCGATTGGTTGGTATGTTTGTTGGTAGTACATGGTACAATGTTGCCAAACATTTGACCTGTATTCCCAGCATGAAGCATCGATATAATGTCCTGGCAACACGTTATGCTCTTCGTGCTGATACTCTCCCTGATGATTGCTTGTTGGTTCTGCTTCGTCGTGGCTTACTGTACACTCGTCTAGACAGATTTATTTGTCAAAACCCGTTGTATCTGACACTACCTGATCCGCCGCCATTCACCACTGCTGGTCTTACTGAAATCTTTGATTCGTATTGGCAAGATCAAGTGGATCGTCAACTTGCTACCGCTGCTGCTACTGGTGCTCAGACTCTCCTTCGTGCTTGTCGTCCGTCTGTCTCTCGTCCAGATCCCATTCTGTATCTGCCTATTGGTCGATCTGCTCGTAGTCGTCTTGTGCGGTGGCGTCTTGGACGTTTCACCAATATGCGTGAAGAATGTCCGTGCACTACCGGTGAGTTTATCTCCCGAGATCACTTTCTGACATGTCGCGCTCTGGACCGTACCTTTTTTGATGCTTTGCCACCTGCTCCACCTGGTATCCATCGCATTGATCATGCTCTGAACTGTCTTCCAGACAAAGCTTCAGCTGGTCCACCGTACTTTTGGTCTGCTTTGCTCCTTTTGTTGCATGCCATTGATTGCCTTGTGCATCCTCTGGCTGTGATCCCACCAGATCCAGATCCTGGATCGCTCTGGTTTTCTGCTCATTGATGAACGTTTGTTGTTTTTGCTTTCTCGGTGCGATGCCACGGTGGCAAGTAATTATCAAAGTTCCCATCCGTTGGTCATTCCTCCAGATCAAATCAACAATACCAGTATTCATGCCGCTCCTTTGCCACTACCACACTTTCCTTTTCCCTTTTTCTTAGTTAGTGTCCCCATAAGGGTTTTTTGTACCTGCTACTCTTTTGTTTCTAGAATTCTAGGCTAATGCTCCCATCGAGTGCCCATTGAATTCATGTATATAATAAAAATCAACGTTAAACTGAGCTACATCCCCACCTTTCTTTCCGCTAACCAATTTTTTTAATACATTGAAGCCCAGTAATATTGAAAAAATTGACCCAACTCTACAATTCCATACAATACATAGCAAGAACATCATTCCAGACGACACCAAAGTAAACCAGGCATTAAGCTGTGCGTCCTCTCTTTCTCCAGGTCAAAAACGGCCAAGTTCCTCAAGATCTCCACCTTTTTTCGCTGTAGATTTCACTCAACAGTTGAAAACAAAGAAAATGACATTCACTCCAACCTCTCATCAGCACCATCATCCACAAACATCAGTTGATATCATCAACATTTCTACTGATTTTGGACCAACAACTCCTCCATCTGCCTCTCCAGCGAGTGAACAGCAACTTTCAACCTTTATGATTGAGGTTCGAAATCGCTTAGCTCGTCTGGAAACCGCCCATGTCGAAATTGAGCGGTTAAAAACAGCCCTGGCAGAGTCTGAAGCTGCTCGTCACGCTCTCGAAGCCCAACTTGCAGCTGCTACTGGTACTACAACTAGCCTGGCTCCCAAACCATCATCATCCCACCCACCTCCTGCCACTACTACCACCACAACAGCACCAACATCAACTACATGCACCAATGCTACCTCTGCCACCTCTTCGTCTCCAGGAAATCAACCATCTTTTGCTGCCGTCGTTGCATCTAATACAGGTGCAAAGCGTAAGAAGAAGCCTGCTGCTCGTCCTCCTCCTCCATCTGCCACCAAGGCATCCGCTACTCTTGCTCGTCTTTTTGCTCCTCAAAGTGATATACCATCTGGTTATCAATTTGTGTACTATGCTACTCCTGTCCGCCGTCGTCTTTCTGAGCTGCGTCGCCTTGTTCAAGGCGTAGGATTGAATAACTCTCGTGTGCTGGATATTCAATATCCTGTACAGAATGTGATTTCTTTCCTTGTTCACAACGACTATGTTCTCACCCTCACCAAAGCCATGCATCTCCATGGTCGTGGCTCTTCTCCGTTGATTGACTTTGATCCATGTGATCCAGTCAATCTCAAAGATCCCAAATTTGCTTCTCTCTCTCGTGATCTGCGTGTCCAAAAGGCCATTGAGGTCGAAAACCTTCGCTGCCTTCGTTCGCTGTCTTTTGTCCGTCGCTCTGTCCGTGTTTCTGTTGCTCGTTCTTTTCTTTTGTATGATCGCATCAACCAAGCCCAATTTGATGCCATTTTGAAAGAAGAAATGCTTGCTCGTTCCTCCTCCTCTGCTGCTGCTAAACCACCATCCCGATCCTCTGATCAAGAGCGTTTAGCCAAGAAACAACGTTTGAGTTATCTTGGCTACCTCTTGCATCATGATGCTGAAACTGCCTCTCTTTTGGCTTATGCTGTCTCCCCCACTCTCTCTGCTACCAAGGATCTTGAAATGTCAGAGCCTTCTGATAACTGATTGACACCTTGCTGTTGAAATCGTTTTGCTCTCTCATTCCCACTCTCGTTGTTTCTGTTTCTGCTGCCTTTATGGTAGTGTCTGTATTTACTTTGTCCTCCTTCTCTGCTTCTTTCTCGTTTGGTCTTTGTCTCTCTGCTCATTTTGCTATATGCAAATGCCTCGTTTTCTCCTTTTTTTCTTGCTTTTTTTGTGCCACTGAGGTCTGTGGGTTTATTTTGTCTGTGCTGCTGTCTGAACATCGAGGTATCCTCAATTGCATGTCTCATACACCATAGCTTCTTATTCTCTACCCTTTTATCTCACTTGTTTTACTCCTTTTTCCTGCCTGTACTTCTTTTTTACCAGTTTAATTTTTAGTTTAGGACCTTTTTTCCCTTTTCTGGACACTTGCATGTTGTTCCTGCATGGAGATCAAACTATCAATTTAAGCTTTTTTGCTGTACGTCGCTTCTCAGGACTTGCAACTAATGATCCAAAGATCGCATGCATATAAGTCTATATTTTTTACTTTGCTAATTCATTGTAATCAATAAACAACCATAAATTTTCGCCTGAGCTACATCCCCCTCGTCCAGATCCCATTCTGTATCTGCCTATTGGTCGATCTGCTCGTAGTCGTCTTGTGCGGTGGCGTCTTGGACGTTTCACCAATATGCGTGAAGAATGTCCGTGCACTACCGGTGAGTTTATCTCCCGAGATCACTTTCTGACATGTCGTGCTCTGGATCGTACCTTTTTTGATGCTTTGCCACCTGCTCCACCTGGTGTACATCGCATTGACCATGCTCTGAACTGTCTTCCAGACAAAGCTTCAGCTGGTCCACCGTACTTTTGGTCTGCTTTGCTCCTTTTGTTGCATGCCATTGATTGCCTTGTGCATCCTCTGGCTGTGATCCCACCAGATCCAGATCCTGGATCGCTCTGGTTTTCTGCCCATTGATGAACGTTTGTTGTTTTTGCTTTCTCGGTGCGATGCCACGGTGGTAAGTAATTATCAAAGTTCCCATCCGTTGGTCATTCCTCCAGATCAAATCAACAATACCAGTATTCATGCCGATCCTATGCCACTACCACACTTTCCTTTTTCCCTTTTTCTTAGTTAGTGTCCCCATAAGGGTTTTTTGTACCTGCTACTCTTTTGTTTCTAGAATTCTAGGCTAATGCTCCCATCGAGTGCCCATTGAATTCATGTATATAATAAAAATCAACGTTAAACTGAGCTACATCCCCATCTCTTTCCGTTTTTCATCACTTTTTGCCACCTTCCCCCGGTAAAAAGTATTTCCTCACTATAAAAGCGGTTTATCTCGACAACAAACACTCCAACTAGCCTTCAGTTGTACCAGTTTACTTGCATTTAGTCAACGTACATTGTGTTATAACTTCCAGTTTGTTGGACATCTTTTTCATATTTTATTGAATCTCCAAAGTTTGATAGAATATTTTCAGCCATGCTCAACAATAATCAGCAATCTATGGATTTGAATCAGCTCATCCAAACTGTTCAAGAACAACAGCAACAACTGGTCTCTCTCACCGAGCGAGTACAGCAACATGACAATCTCCTTGCTCGCCTGGACCTTTTGGAAAAGGAAAATGGAGAATTGAAAAATCAGTTACAAGCCAAGGACCTTGCAATTGAAAAATTACAGGGCCAACTCTCATCCCGCCGCACCAATCAAGGTGCTCTTTCCAGCTCTCAGGTAACACCACCCCAAGAGCTTGTTACTACTCACCAACCCGATGCTACTCAAGGTAGCTACGCATCTGCTGCCCGTAAAGGTGCTCAACATCGTGACCCTGCCCGTACTACCAAGCGACGTCTTGCTGCAGGTCGCATGTTCCAAACCACCACCACCAAAGGTCAACAAGGATACCAGTATGTGTATCTAGGCCGCTCTGGTAAAATCCTGCGCTCTGAGGTTCGTTACCAACTTCGCCGAGCTGGTATTGATACTGGCCGTGTGTTAGACATCTGTTTCCCTGCCACTGGCGTCATTGGCATCTTGCTCCACATCCAATATGTTGAGGAATTTCTTGCCTGTATGCGCAAATGTGAAGCTGATCACATTGAAAACTTTCAACCTTTGGATCCCAACAACATTGCTGATCCCAAATATGCTGATCTTGCCATTGAAGAGCGTGAGCAATTGATCTATGAATTCACCAACACCCGTGCTCTGCAAACCCTCTCTTTCCTTCGTCCACTCAACGTTAGTGGTGTTGGCAAATACTTTGTCTCTGCTGGCTGGATCTCTCAAGAAGAGCTAGATATAGCCGTCTCTGAAGCTATCGGTCGTCTTGCCGAGAAGGAGCCCAAAAAGGCTAAATTCTTGTTCAAGCGTCAAAAGGAAGATCATGACAGCAATGGCTCTGCTATGGAACTCTAATGAGTAACATAGCTACTAGTCATACTCCCAATAACAACCCAGTCCACTCCTTTCAAGTCTCTCTCTCCCTTTGGAATGCCAATGGTCTACGTCAATCAACGGTACATGATGTTCTCCATCATGTTCAGAACACTCATGTACTGCTTGTCACTGAAACCTGGCTAACCTCTGGTTCTTTCCCTACTAACTGGTCTCAATTCCACCTCTATGGCTCTAAAGTACCTGGTGCATTTAACCGTGGTTCTGGCGGCATTACTGCCTTTGTCTCTCCTTCCTGTCCTTTCTCTGTCTCTCAACTTCCGTCTTACAATGCACACACTTTGTCCCTTAAGGTTGGCACCCTTACGGTTCATTGTGTGTATCTGCCTCCACCCTTATCTTCGGATAAGGTGCTCTCGCTTCTTCGCTCGTTACCCGTAACCGGTGATACCATCCTTTGTGGTGATTTCAATGCTCGCTTTGGATCTCTACTGGGTGATACTAATGCTAATCCTCGTGGTACCTCACTACTTCCATGGCTGGAGGAGTCCTCTTTTTCCATTCTCAATGAGTCTTTAGCATTTGGTACACCCACATTCACAACTTTTCGACGTCAACAAGAGGTTCATAGCATCATTGATCTGTTTCTTACAAACATTGGCGAGGCTGCTCTGTTACATCCTCAACTGGTGGTTGAATCTGATCTGTCTCTTGGCTCTGATCATCGGCTGATGGTACTTACTTTCGAGTATGTGCCCCCTCCTGATGATACTCTTGGTTCTGGTAGCTCTGGTGGTTTGGCCCCTAGACGGCAATGGAAGCTCTCGAAATTGAGGAAAAAGCGGCCTTTGGGCTTGCTTCGTGAATCCTTTCGATCTTCTGTTGCTCCTTTGGTTGGTTCTCTCTCTGGTTTGGTGTCTGCTCCTCCTGGTGTTTGTCCAGATATTGATGCACTCAACGATTCTTTGAATCAATGTTTGTATGAATCTCTGGATAGCTCAATTGGTGTGAAATCTGGTCGTCCTGGCCACTGGAAAAAGTACTGGACACAGGAAATTGAGGATGCTGCTCGTGAAAGAGATACTATGTATAGTAGATGGAGGTGGGCAAGTCGTTTTGCCAAAGTCGAAACATGGAATCTCTATCAAGCTGCTCACAGGCGTTTTCGTTCTCTTGTACAAGCTGCTAAGCGTCGATCGTGGAATCAGTTTTGCTCTGATTTAGAAAAGGACTTTTCGAAAGCCACTGCTGCAATCAAGCGCATTAAAAGAAACAAGGAATGCTCTGCAACGTACAGTCATCCAGACGGTCCAACTGCCTCTGTCAACACAATGGCGTCCCATCTTGCCTCAGTCTATGATGGCTCTTTGTTGAATAATGCGTCTCGCCCTACTGCTCCCCAAGTGAACAACTCTGATTTGCCTTACGCTGTGCCTACTGATCTGTCTCTGTTTGATGCTGATATACTTGTCGCTCTCATTAAGCGTTTGCCAAATGGGAAAGCTCCTGGTCCTGATCATCTGAAAGCTGAAATGCTGAAGGCTCTAGCATCTGACATTGCACCCGTATTGTCTCTGCTCTTTACACTCTGCTCTCAGTGGTCGTATACACCAGCTCTATGGCGACATGCTCAAGTCTTTCCCATTTACAAGAAAGGTGATGTATCTGATCCTGCAAACTTTCGTCCAATTTCGCTTACTTCGGTGATGCGTAAATTGTTCGAATTCTCTCTGATGCCTGCTCTTGATGAACATTCGCCTGCACTTGATGTTGCTCAAGGTGGTTTTCGCCCACAGCGTAGTCCTCTGGATCAAGCCCTCTGTTTACATGACTTGATGCACGACTACTTCCTCACCCACCATCACTATCCTGTGGTGGCTTTCCTGGACATCAAGTCAGCGTATGATACCGTGGATCGTCGAGTGATTTGGGATGCTCTCTCTCGTTCTTCTCTGCCTCGTTCAGTTCTCAGTTTGCTCATCCACATGTTCGATGATGTACTCGTGTCTGTGTTGATTGCAAATCACACCTCTGTTCCCTTTTCGCCTGCTACTGGCGTATTGCAGGGTTCAGTGCTCAGCCCTCACTTGTACTCTTTGTACATCAACTCTCTGCCTGCTCTTCTTCGTTCTGCTGTCAGTCGCGGTACTATGGTATCACCACCTGGGATGCCTAGTGTTTGCGTGAATAGCCTGCTCTTTGCTGATGATGTAGCCATATTTGGCTCTCGTACTGATGTGCAAACCATGTTGGATGTCGCTTCAGATCACTCGTTCTCTCTTGGCTACAGATGGAAACCATCAAAATGTGCTGTACTTTGTGCTCCCACTGCCTCTACTCGTCATCCATTGTCCCTATACGGTGAACCTCTTCCTGTGGTAGAGGAATTCACGTATCTTGGTATGCCGTTTAGATATAAAGGTCTGTATGCCCCTGGGATTCTCAATCTGCGTGCTTCTGGTGCTATCAAGACAATGGCATTGTTGAATTCGGTTGGTGTCAATCGAAATGGTTTTTCTCTGTTGCTTTGTGCTCGTTTGTATAAAAGCTTTATTCGACCCAAGCTGGAATACGGCTTAGCAATATCGCATCTCTCTTTCCGTGACTTCAAGGCTCTTGATGCTCTGCAAAATCGATTGGTTGGTATGTTTGTTGGTAGTACATGGTACAATGTTGCCAAACATTTGACCTGTATTCCCAGCATGAAGCATCGATATAACGTTCTGACAACACGTTATGCTCTTCGTGCTGATACTCTTCCTGATGATTGCTTGTTGGTTCTGCTTCGTCGTGGCTTACTGTACACTCGTCTAGACAGATTTATTTGTCAAAACCCGTTGTATCTGACACTATCTGATCCGCCGCCATTCACCACTGCTGGTCTTACTGAAATCTTCGATTCGTATTGGCAAGATCAAGTGGATCGTCAACTTGCTACCGCTGCTGCTACTGGTGCTCAGACTCTCCTTCGTGCTTGTCGTCCGTCTGTCTCTCGTCCAGATCCCATTCTGTATCTGCCTATTGGTCGATCTGCTCGTAGTCGTCTTGTGCGGTGGCGTCTTGGACGTTTCACCAACATGCGTGAAGAATGTCCGTGCACTACCGGTGAGTTTATCTCCCGAGATCACTTTCTGACATGTCGTGCTCTGGATCGTACCTTTTTTGATGCTTTGCCACCTGCTCCACCTGGTGTACATCGCATTGACCATGCTCTGAACTGTCTTCCAGACAAAGCTTCAGCTGGTCCACCGTACTTTTGGTCTGCTTTGCTCCTTTTGTTGCATGCCATTGATTGCCTTGTGCATCCTCTGGCTGTGATCCCACCAGATCCAGATCCTGGATCGCTCTGGTTTTCTGCTCATTGATGAACGTTTGTTGTTTTTGCTTTCTCGGTGCGATGCCACGGTGGTAAGTAATTATCAAAGTTCCCATCCGTTGGTCATTCCTCCAGATCAAATCAACAATACCAGTATTCATGCCGTCCCTTTGCCACTACCACACTTTCCTTTTTCCCTTTTCTTAGTTAGTGTCCCCATAAGGGTTTTTTGTACCTGCTACTCTTTTGTTTCTAGAATTCTAGGCTAATGCTCCCATCGAGTGCCCATTGAATTCATGTATATAATAAAAATCAACGTTAAACTGAGCTACATCCCCACATCCCCACCCTTCTTTCGCTTTTGAAATTTTATATTACGTTCCGCCAAAAATTCAGGTACCACGTGATTAGAAAATTCCAATAAGTGTATCCAAGCAGTAGTAAACAAAGCAGTAATCACCAAACGAGCATACATTAAGTGCCTAGTACTTGAAGTATAACCTGTGAAAACCTCAGCTCGATTGAACAGATATTCATCTTTTTTGAAAAACCCACAAAAAACATCATATTTTTCTTTCGACATCTCAACACCTTTGTATCGATCAACAATGACAATGGACACCGATACACCAGCTACTCTCATGTCGCAGATGGATCTGCAGAGACTAGTATTGACCATGCAACAGGACATCTCTGCCCACAACAGTGCTTTGCAAGAGCTAAATGCCTTGAAAACCACTATTTTGAATCTCCAAAAACAAAATGAATCCCTGACCCAAGAGAATGAGCGTCTGCGTCAGCAACTCAACTCTCAACAAGGTTCCACAACCACTCAAGCGCAACCCAAATCAGGTATTCAACAGCAACCCAAACCTCATTCTTCAGCTACTCAATCCACGCAACAAGCACCCAATGCCACCAAAAAGACTCCCAACAACTCTTGGACCGAAGTAATCAAACGTTCCAAAAAGGTTCGCAACCCTGCCGATGTAACTGACAAACATCGCCAAGCTATTACTCGTGGTTTTAACTTGGCTCCTGAAGGGCCCAAAGGCTACACAACGGTGTACTTTAACCGCTCTCGCCGCTTCACTCGCACTGAAGTCCGCAACAACTTGCATCTGATCAAAGCTGATGCTTCTCGTATCATTGATGTAACGTTCCCTGCTAGAAACATCATTGGCGTCCTAGTCCATTTGCAATACAAGGACAACCTCGTCTCCATTCTCACCAAGAACAACATCAATGTTGTGGAAGGCTTTGATCCTACTGATCCCAAACACCTCGCTGACCCCAAGTTTAAAGAGATGTCCCTCTCTAAGCGTGAGGATGCTGCCTTTGACCTGCAAATCAATCGTTGTGCCAAGTCTCTTGTCTACCTTGCCAATCGTCGTTCTCGTCTTTTTGCTTCTGTTGCTAATCACTTTTTGGAAAATGGTTGGACCACCACTGAATACATTGATTCTGTCGCCCCTGTCAATAACATCTTTGGCTCTTCTGGTTTCAAGAAAAGCTTTGGCTCATCTGATGTTGACATGTCTGATTCCGACGAAGAAGAGTATTAATGATTGAGAGTCCTCTCAGTCATTATACATCCTCCTCGCTCCCTGACCATCCTCTCTCTGCTTCTAATCCGTCCTCATCAATACCAACTATACTCAATAACACTATACCTACTACTCCTCCTCCTCCTACAGCTTTGGCTCCAGTCATTAATAGCGCTTCTCAACTCACTCCACTCACCATTGGCCTCTGGAACGCTCGCGGTCTCAGAGATACCACCATTGATGATGTTCTCCGTTATTGCCAATCCTTCTCTGTGCTGTTCATTACCGAAACATGGCTGAACCGCCATCCCATCCGACTACCCACCAATTGGCAGCAATTCCACTTACCTGGCGTCACTGTCGCAGGCGGTGGTCGTGGCTCTCGTGGCATTACATGCTTAATCAACCCTTCCTGTCCCCTTACAGCATTCCAGACGCCTTTGCCCTCTGCTCTTCAAGAGTTTGCTTTGGGTATTCAACTTGGTCGTGAACTTCGGCTCATTTGTCTGTATATACCACCTGAGCAAGCGGATCTCTATACTGAAAATGTCTCTTCCATCCTGAATGCGATCCCGTTGGATCATGACACAATCATCTGTGGCGATCTGAATGCCCGCATGGGTAGCTTTGTTGGTGACTCCTCTACAAATAACCGTGGTCGTCTACTTCAAGAGTACTGTGCCGATAATCAATTAAACGTTTTGAACTGTCAATTAGCCCACTCTACACCTACCTTTGAGGACCGTCGTAGTGGGCGGAATGTAAGTAGCATTGTCGATTACTACATCTCAAATGTAGAATCACTTTCCTTTGCCTCTCTGGATACCTCATCTCCACCTTCTTCCTCCTCAATTAGTATTTACTCTGACTTGTCTTTGGGATCTGATCATAAACTGATGTCTCTGACGTTTGATTACCACTCAAACGAACCTGCTCTTGCTATGCCTGCTACGCCATCACCATCACCTCGTCTCCTATGGAAGCTCTCACGTCTACAAGAAACGGATGTACGCAATTTGTATGCACAACGCTTTACAGCCCTCTCTCAACCGTTGCTACAACAGCTGATCTCGCTTGTGCGCTCACCACCTGATACACAACCTCCAATTGATGCCCTCAACAGTGATCTCACCAATTGCATATATCAGGCACTGGATGAATCCGTTACTCGGCAATCCCAGCGACCCAACTTTTGGAAGAAATTCTGGACCCTCGATCTTCAACGGCTCTGTGATCATCGTGAAGCTCTCTATCGTAAATATCGTCGTTGTCCCGCTTCATTGGACAAGGCATATTGGTGGAATCAACATGTGGAAGCACATCAAAAGTTCAAACAAGCCCTTCGTAGAGCTAAACAGGTTTCGTGGCACGCATTCTGTGAATCTTTATTCAAGCAAGACTTTTCAAAGGCCATGTCAAAAATCAAGTTGATCAAATCCAGACGACAAAGACAATCAGGGTATCTACATGTGGACGGTGCTCAAGCTGGTGCTAATGCTATGCGTGATCACCTTGCTACCATTTATGCTGGATCCAATCTCCCAACAAATCGACCTCCATGCCCTTTTGCTACACATGGTAGACATCTGCCATATGGTGTTCCTCCTCCTCAGTCAGCCTCCCATCTTGGTGGTACTCGTCTGGCAAAATGGTGACATCAGTACATTGAATCCGCATGCTTCTCCTTTCATCCCATCATACCTCTCACATAGAACTCTACCACATGATGACTCTGACCCAACACGTCGTGTTGTCTCAGCATCGGTCCACAACGAAGCTTTTGACGAGATTATTAGTATTGACCATATCATTCAGCAGATCAAGTCGTTGCCATACCGTAAAGCACCTGGCCGTGATTCAATTCGTGGTGAAATGCTGAAACCCATTCAGAAACCACTTGCCACTGTTCTGTCATACCTCTTTGCTCTGACCTATCAATGGTCTTACACACCAGCGGATTGGCGTCATGGTAATGTTTGTAGCATCTACAAGAAGGGGCCTGTCACGGAGGCATCAAGCTTTCGGCCCATCTCATTGACTAGTACACTGAGAAAACTCTTTGAAATGTGCCTTGCTCCCCTTGTCCTCACCATTTCACCACCATTAGATGTAGCCCAGAATGGTTTCCGATCCGCAAGAAGTGCACTTGATAGTGCTCTTAGTCTCCAAGACTTAATGAAAGTCTACCAGAACCAACACTACCACTGGCCAACTGTGTGCTTCCTTGATATCAAGAGTGCCTATGATGTTGTTGATCGCCGTGTGATCTGGAATTCGCTGCTCTCTGCCAATGCTCCAATGCCACTTGTCTCATTGCTCTCCAATTTGTTTGACGATGTTTCCATTTCAGTGCTGAATCAGCAATGCGTGTCCCAAGAACTCTCACTGCATACTGGATTGCTTCAAGGCTCCACCCTTAGTCCCCACTTATTCAGTATCTTTATCAACTCACTGCCAGCTTTGTTGCGTCAAGCTGCATCGTCCTCCACCACTCGTGTCATGTCAACATCACCATCATGTGCTCCCTCTCCTCTTTGGTCCGTCATAACACCCACTCATGCTACTAATATTGCTATTAATGCTTTATTATATGCTGATGATGTTGCTATTCTAGGTTCTGCTCGTGAAGTAAAACAGATGCTGACACTAGCTGAATCACATTCCCTTGCACTTGGGTATCGCTGGGCTCCTGCCAAATGTGCTATCATCAATCCACCGTCCTCCACCTCATCTACCTTTGTTGACCTGACCTTGTATGGAGAATCTCTTCCTGTTGTCGATGAATTTGTGTATCTCGGTATTCCATTTGACCGCAAGGGCATCTGCACAGCATCTATTGTCAAGAAATGTCAGCGTGGTACCATGGCTTCGATGGCTCAGCTTAACTCCATTGGATGCAATCGTTCTGGCTTCCCTCTGCTCTTCTCCACCAAATTGTATGCTTCATTCATCAGACCCAAACTGGAATATGGTATTGGCATTGCCAATATGCGTGTTGCTGATTTCAAGGCTCTTGAAAAGGTCCAAGATACGTGCCTCCGCATGATATTTGGTGGCCATCGTGCTGCTTCCACCATGGTGTTTCGACACATGACAAATCTGCCTCTGATGCGACAACGTGCTGCTATACTGGTGACTCAATTCTGCTTGCGCTCACAATTCCTCCCAGAAGATGGCCTGCTGATACTGCTCTCTGATTCTCTACCTGGTTCATCTTTGAAAAGATTAAAAAAGCAACACATGGCTGCCCGCGCGCTTGATGAAGTACCTTTTGCAAATCAACGTCACATGAAACAATGGTTCCTTGCTGAACGCCAACATTGGCACGCTGAGTTCCTGACAAAAACAGACATGGTGCTGATCCGTGCTTGCCGACCCACTATTGGCATTGATCCTGTTATGTATGTACCTGCCAGTCGTCCTTGTCGTAGTCGTCTTATTCGTTATAGAATGGGATGGCTTCCGGGTAAGCCACGACCTTGTGCATGCAATGAAGATCATACATCCCGTCGCCATCTACATGAATGCCCCACTTTGCCACCTACTTTGCTTCTGTCTCTTCCTGTTCCGCCTGCTGACTTCACCGGCACCATCATTGACCATGCTTTGAACTTGATTCCATCCTCCTCATCTCCTTCCAACTGTCCACCCTGGTGGTCTGATCTCTGTACCTTGCTGTGGCATTTTGACCAGCTCTGTAATCCCGATGGCGATTACACAACGGATCCAGTTCCAGGACAAGTGTGGGCTTCCCCGGCCTAACATGCGTCTACTGACATCCTGCTCTGTGGTGAACCGATTGTGATCTGCTTCCTCTGTTTGCCCCTCCACTGCTACACTCTTTTACGCACGATGCGAGGGAATTCATGTTGTCTTTGATCTTTCTTATTAGCCATGTGCCTCCCACCCACCACCCAGACAATTCAAATATTGCATAGCGTTCCTGAAATATTTGTCGCTCCCTGAATCCCAGAACCTTGGTTCTGACACTTCCTCACGTTCGCCTCCCAAGTGCTAGCAATAATGATCAAAAGATCGAATGCATTTAGCCTTTACTTTATTAATTTCTTCTTGCTTTTAATAAACACATACATTTTCGCCTGAGCTACATCCCCATCTCTTTCCGTTTTTCATCACTTTTTGCCACCTTCCCCGGTAAAAAGTATTTCCTCACTATAAAAGCGGTTTATCTCGACAACAAACACTCCAACTAGCCTTCAGTTGTACCAGTTTACTTGCATTTAGTCAACGTACATTGTGTTATACTTCCAGTTTGTTGGACATCTTTTTCATATTTTTATTGAATCTCCAAAGTTTGATAGAATATTTTCAGCCATGCTCAACAATAATCAGCAATCTATGGATTTGAATCAGCTCATCCAAACTGTTCAACAACAACAGCAACAACTGGTCTCTCTCACCGAGCGAGTACAGCAACATGACAATCTCCTTGCTCGCCTGGACCTTTTGGAAAAGGAAAATGGAGAATTGAAAAATCAGTTACAGGCCAAGGACCTTGCAATTGAAAAATTACAGGGCCAACTCTCATCCCGCCGCACCAATCAAGGTGCTCTTTCCAGCTCTCAGGTAACACCACCCCAAGAGCTTGTTACTACTCACCAACCCGATGCTACTCAAGGTAGCTACGCATCTGCTGCCCGTAAAGGTGCTCAACATCGTGACCCTGCCGTACTACCAAGCGACGTCTTGCTGCAGGTCGTATGTTCCAAACCGCCACCACCAAAGGTCAACAAGGATACCAGTATGTGTATCTAGGCCGCTCTGGTAAAATCCTGCGCTCTGAGGTTCGTTACCAACTTCGCCGAGCTGGTATTGATACTGGCCGTGTGTTAGACATCTGTTTCCCTGCCACTGGCGTCATTGGCATCTTGCTCCACATCCAATATGTAGAGGAGTTTCTCGCCTGTATGCGCAAATGTGAAGCTGATCACATTGAAAACTTTCAACCCTTGGATCCCAACAACATTGCTGATCCCAAATATGCTGATCTTGCCATTGAAGAGCGTGAGCAATTGATCTATGAATTCACCAACACCCGTGCTCTGCAAACCCTCTCTTTCCTTCGTCCACTCAACGTTAGTGGCGTTGGCAAATACTTTGTCTCTGCTGGCTGGATCTCTCAAGAAGAGCTAGATATAGCCGTCTCTGAAGCTATCGGTCGTCTTGCGAGAAGGAGCCCAAAAAGGCTAAATTCTTGTTCAAGCGTCAAAAGGACGATCATGACAGCAATGGCTCTGCTATGGAACTCTAATGAGTAACATAGCTACTAGTCATACTCCCAATAACAACCCAGTCCACTCCTTTCAAGTCTCTCTCTCCCTTTGGAATGCCAATGGTCTACGTCAATCAACGGTACATGATGTTCTCCATCATGTTCAGAACACTCATGTACTGCTTGTCACTGAAACCTGGCTGACCTCTGGTTCTTTCCCTACTAACTGGTCTCAATTCCACCTCTATGGCTCTAAAGTACCTGGTGCATTTAACCGTGGTTCTGGTGGCATTACTGCCTTTGTCTCTCCTTCCTGTCCTTTCTCTGTCTCTCAACTTCCGTCTTACAATGCACACACTTTGTCCCTTAAGGTTGGCACCCTTACGGTTCATTGTGTGTATCTGCCTCCACCCTTATCTTCGGATAAGGTGCTCTCGCTTCTTCGCTCGTTACCCGTAACCAGTGATACCATCCTTTGTGGTGATTTCAATGCTCGCTTTGGATCTCTACTGGGTGATACTAATGCTAATCCTCGTGGCACCTCACTACTGCCATGGCTGGAGGAGTCCTCTTTATCCATTCTCAATGAGTCTTTAGCATTCGGTACACCCACATTCACAACTTTTCGACGTCAACAAGAGGTTCATAGCATCATTGATCTGTTTCTTACAAACATTGGCGAGGCTGCTCTGTTACATCCTCAACTGGTGGTTGAATCTGATCTGTCTCTTGGCTCTGATCATCGGCTGATGGTACTTACTTTCGAGTATGTGCCCCCTCCCGATGATACTCTTGTTCTGGTAGCTCTGGTGGTTTGGCCCCTAGACGGCAATGGAAGCTCTCGAAATTGAGGAAAAAGCGGCCTTTGGGCTTGCTTCGTGAATCCTTTCGAACTTCTGTTGCTCCTTTGGTTGGTTCTCTCTCTGGTTTGGTGTCTGCTCCCCCTGGTGTTTGTCCAGATATTGATGCAATCAACGATTCTTTGAATCAATGTTTGTATGAATCTCTGGATAGCTCAATTGGTGTGAAATCTGGTCGTCCTGGCCACTGGAAAAAGTACTGGACACAGGAAATTGAGGATGCTGCTCGTGAAAGAGATACTATGTATAGTAGATGGAGGTGGGCAAGTCGTTTGCCAAAGTCGAAACATGGAATCTCTATCAAGCTGCTCACAGGCGTTTTCGTTCTCTTGTACAAGCTGCTAAGCGTCGATCGTGGAATCAGTTTTGCTCTGATTTGGAAAAGGATTTTTCGAAAGCTACTGCTGCAATCAAGCGCATTAAAAGAAACAAGGAATGCTCTGCAACGTACAGTCATCCAGACGGTCCAACTGCCTCTGTCAACACAATGGCGTCCCATCTTGCCTCTGTCTATGATGGCTCCCTGTTGAATAATGCGTCTCGCCTTGCTGCTCCGTCCAATTTCTCTGATTTGCCTTATGATGTGTCCACCGCTGATTTGGGTCTATTTGATGCTGATACACTTGTCTCCCTCATTAAGCGTTTGCCAAATGGAAAAGCTCCTGGTCCTGATCATTTGAAAGCTGAAATGCTGAAGGCTCTAGCATCTGACATTGCACCCGTATTGTCTCTGCTCTTTACACTCTGCTCTCAGTGGTCGTATACACC